GTCACGTTTACTAAATCGCCTACGCGAGAAAAAGGGTCACCAAACATGTCGGAAAATAACCAAGGACATGCAGCTAGACATCAATTGGTGGCTGGTCTTTTTAAAGCATTTCAACGGGGCAACTCTAATACACCTCAATCCCAAGGTCTTTCAAGATATCCGATTTACAACGGATGCATCACTCAAAAGAGGGGGAGCGACATGTTTTGTTGAATGTTTTTTCTTCGCATTTCCTTCACACGTGGATTCGCTGCACTTACATATCAACGCACTTGAACTGTACACTGTGGTAGTAGCTGTACGTCTGTGGGCTTCACGATTGACAGGAACGTCTTTTCAAATTTCATGTGACAACGAAGCAGCTGTGCAGGTCTTTCGTTCTGGTCGCTGCCGAGATACCTTCATGCAGCGTTGTTTGAGACAACTCTGGTTCACGGCGGCTCGATACGATCTGGAGATTAAAGTTAAACATATACCGGGATCACACGACACTTTTGCGGACGTCATCTACTCCAACATTTTTTGCCCAAATTATTAAGGATTTGCATGAATATTTTCTTKAAATYTGTTGCTTCATGATTATTACATCCATATGGATAGGTCTATTTGATTCCCAAGTCTTTCCTAATGTTTTGCAATTTTCGTCCAAGTAGCCCTTTCAAAGAACGTAGTTTCACGCTACCATTGCCGCGCATTCCAGGCAATAATTTGTGTCCTGTTAGCGCGCTCTTAAATAGAGTTTCCGAATAGAGTTTCCGCTGAAGCACCGCTTTTTTTGGTTAAGTCGGGAAACAGGACTTTACCTATTTCTTATTTTAAGTTTTGCACATTTTTAATTAAAGTTTTAAGAGCCATAGGAGTTGATTCGACCGCATATTCACCTCATAGTTTTCGTAGAGGTGGCGCCACATTCGCTTTTGATTCGAAAATTCCGTTAATTAAAGTTCAGAGTTAATTAAAGCTCAGGGTGACTGGCGCAGCGATTGTTATCTAGTATATTTAGAAATGTCAGATAAACAAAAACAACATGCAGCCTTAAAGATGGCTGACGCTATTTTAAACAATTAGTTCACCTCATATAYTCTATTATCTATTTACATCACACCAGCTACATTTCCTTTTGGGCATTTTGGCGTTCATAGATTTATTTCTTTGTACGTTTAATATCGTTTTAGCTTTCAATAAATCTTTTGCCCAAAACTTATGTAACCTGTGTGATAGATATATTAGTAATTGTTGCAAAGCATTTTCAGTATAGAGTTGAAAMCTTTTTTACTGAGGTACTCCTGAGTAATTCAAATCCAATTGGAAAGATTGTGTATTATGCWCTTAGAATTGAATTTCAAATGAGAGGATCTCCTCATTTACATGCACTTATATGGACTTCAGACTGCCCTAGGTTARCAAATGAAACCAAAGCTGAATACATAGAATTCATTGATCGTCACGTGCAAGTCTATCTTCCAGATGAAGAAGTTGACTCGCAATTGCATAATTTAGTCAAAACAACATGTGTGTGTGTGCGTCCATCGAAACGATGAGGACCATGATTTCCCTTTTTCAATGTTAGTTTCTGTGTGTCCGGAGGTGACTGGTGAGTCCAATCCGGGCACGGAAGAAGCGACCACAGTGGTRACACTTGAAGTCGCACTCTGTTGGAGTTGAGGTACTGGCTAATCTAGCTTTCCTGGCAGCTCGCTTTTCCTGAGCAGCAAGTGTTCGTGCTTGTTCTGGGTTGATGGCACCAAGATCGGTCATGTAACGCCAGTTTGATCGATCGCATGATTGAGATTCCCAACTTTGCCAATTGATGTTAAAAGCCTTGAGAGAGGATTTGAGGACATCCTTGTATCTCTTTTTCTGTCCACCTACAGTTCTCTTACCTGTTGAGAAATGCTGTAATTTGCGTGCATGTCTGCTGTATACAGTCCAGGTTTCACATGCATAAAGGAGAGTGGTGAGGACAACCGCCTTATAAACTTTGAGCTTGGTTTCTAGAGYTATRCCTCTTCTATCCCAGACAGTATGTCTGAGCCTGCCAAAAGCTGCACTTGCTTTTGCAATACGATTGTTGACTTCATCATCAATATGTACGCAGCGAGATAGTGTGCTGCCGAGGTATGTGAAGCTGTCAACTGACTGCAGTTTGGCACCCTTGACCTTGAAGTTAGGCTCTATATAAGTTGTACCAGGTGCAGGTTGGTGAAGTACTTCCGTCTTCTTAGTACTGATGGAAAGACCAAAGTTGTCACATGCCCCTGAGAATGTGTCCATAGTTTGCTGTGAGAGCACTTCCGTAGAAGCAATTAAGGCACAGAAACAGAAACATAGTCACTCTAGGACATGTAGAAAGTATAAGAACCTAGCATATCGCTTCAGCTTTGGTCAGTTTTTCGCAAACAGAACAATTATTTCAGAACCTTTACCCAATGATCTAGATGAGTTTTCTAAGATGAGCATTCTAAACAAAAGAAAAGAAATTCTCTCTTTAGTTAAAGAAAAAATTGATGAACATTTGAATCCTAGTGTTCAGGACTACAATCCTACTTTAACTGAGAAAGATATTCTATCTTCTTTAGTTATATCTGAAACTGAGTATTATTCAGCCCTATCAGTGTCATCTGATGATGATTTTGGTTTGCATTTAAAACGTCCAGTTAACAGCTGCTTTATTAACAACTATTTTCCAGCTGGTTTAAAAGGTTTTCAAGCAATTACCTCCAATTCGCCTTAATCGCGGCCCGCCATATTGAAATTACGTCATGGAATTTTTACATCAAAACGAGGCATTGCGTGGCAACYAACCGTCAAAATGGCGTCATCCAATGCTTGTGTGAGTGTGGACAATTTTTGGCACAAAAACCTGACTTTTATTCCGAAATTCTGCAATTCTTTTATTGAATCTTTTTCAAATGCAAATCTAYCGATAAAGGCATCATTGACTAGAGGCTATAAGTTCTTTTTTGAAGAATTTATTCACGAAATCGAAGGTAAGTAGTTCGCTATAAATGTGATAGTCACGTTGTCGTGAGCTTATTTAAAATCGCAAAAGCATAAGACTAGTCTAGCTAAATACAAACTTAAAGTTCTCTTTGGCCTTATTTTAGTGAAAAATCCAACTGGTGATATCGGAGCTTCAGTGAAAGCAMAATGTTTTCGCAGTATGAAGAAACATGAAGAGGCCCATAAGCTAAATGTTGTCTTTGGCAAAAACCTTAAAGAAGCAAAAATGGAGCACTTCAGCTGTAGTTGTGCTGCCGGCAAAGGACTTTGTCATCATGTTATTGGTTTGCTCTACACTTTAGAGCACTTCCAGAAACTAGATAAGAAAAGTGTGCCTCCTATTATTTCCAGTACATCCAAACCTCAACAGTGGCACATTCCCAAAAGAAAAGACGGTATCAAGCCGCGCCCAGCTACTGATATTRTTGTCCAAAAGACAAAAAAGAAACCACTGAAAGTACCAAAGAAAAAGCGTATTGTAGATGGTATAAGAAGCACAATTTATAAACCGTTTCAGCAGCCGTTAAAATCTTTGAACATTTTACAAAAGTTAGCACCAGTTCTTCAACAGTTAAATCCAAAGCCGTCTGTGCTCAAACTTTTGCCCACCAATGACGATGAAATCACATAAGGATAGTCGATGGCGGGAGGAACGCGATCAAAAAGCTCAAGCAAGATGGAGCAAGAAACTGGAGAATTTTTCACTATTTCACAAATCAAAGAGTTACTTAAGATTCAAGAGTCAACTATCAAATCTTTTCTGACAGTTTTAGTGGAATCTACAAATACTAGAATTGATAATCTCRTGAAAGATGTGCAAGCTATAAAAACAAGCCTCGAGCTTAGCCAGGCAGAAATCACCGATCTTAAGAAATCTAACTGCGAGCCAAGACTAAAGGCACTAGAATGCAATATTGAAACACTAATTGAGAAAGCTGATGACCTCGAGAACAGATCGAGACGTAATAATCTTTGTTTTGAGGGCATCGAAGAATCCTTTAAAAACGAAAGCTGGGAGGAATCTGAGGGCAAAGTTAAGTCTCTCATCGCTACCAAGTTAAACCTGAATACTGAGGACATTGTAATCGAACGAGCCCACCGAGTTGGAAGGAAAAGACCCTCGTCAGAGAAACCTAGGCCGATCGTTGCTAAGTTCCTAAATTATAAAGATCGGGATCAAGTCCTCAACGAAAGAAGAAAGCTAAAGGGATCCAAGACCGTAATCAGGGAGGACTTCTCTGAGAGAGTCCTCCAGAAAAGGAAAGATCTCCTTCCTAAGATGATCGAAGCCCGTCAAGCAGGGAAAATTGCCTACTTAAGTTACGACAAATTGGTCATACGACAACCAAGATCTTATCAACAGTCCGTACCAGGCCACCAAGGTCAAGACAACCAACCTTCGACCTCCATTCGACCGCCATTTGCACCTNAATTCATATTAAGAAAGGTGCCAGAGTGATGCTAACATCTAATATTGATATCAATGATAGACTCATAAATGGTCAAATGGGGACTGTACATAGTATTGGTATTAACCCAACTACAAGCAAAGTAACTGTTGTCTACATAAAATTTGATGATAGTCAAGCTGGAAATATTTTGATGCAAAAACACTCTTCAAATGTTGTTATTAGAAATCACAGAGTTGTGCCTATTGAACAGATATTAGCTAAAATTAAGATTCGCTCTAATAAGCCATCTTCCCCTGTCATTCAAAGAATACAATATCCTATTGCTCTTGCTTGGGCCTGTACAGTTCACAAAGTTCAGGGACTAAGTCTTGATAAAATTGTTATCAGTTTTGAGTTATTCAAGCAAAAATCTTTCAATTTTGGACAAGTCTATGTTGCACTTAGCAGAGCACGTTCTTTACTAGGAATCCATCTTCTTACTAAACTTGAAAGTAAACATATAAAAGCAGATAAAAGAGTACATGATGAGTATCAAAGATTAAAAAGCATTCCAAGTGCAAATGATGCATCCTTGCTTGATATGGCAGTATTTCACGTATCTCTTTTGAACATACGCTCTCTTAGGAAACATGCTATTGACTTGAAGTTTGATATGAACATATTTGATTGTGATGTCATTGCTTTGACAGAAACTCAGCTTCTCCCCCACGATACTGATGAAGAAATAAGAAAAAAATTAAATCCAATGACACTTTACAGACAAGATCATAGTTCTGAWAAATTTTGTAGTTTGGCAGTTTGTACTAAACCAAATGCCTTTTTTGAGCATAAACAATATTTTCCAGAGCTTAATGCTTTAAAATTTGTGATGTCAATTGATTCGGGTGAGAAAGTTTGGACATGCCTATTATTGTACAAAAAGAAAAATATTCACATCAATCATTTRGCCAATACTCTTGGCTCTGTACTTGAGAATAATATGATTGATATCATATTTGGAGATTTTAACATTGATTTCTTTGATGACCAAGCAGTTCAGTGTCTGAAAGCAATAATGAATACACAGAATTATGTGCAAGTTGTACAAAATGCAACATTTCTGTCTGGTTCTTTGCTAGATCATGTTTATGTAAAGTGCCCATTYCATTCTGCAATTGTTCAAAACTTTGTAATTAGTGTTTATTTTTCAGATCATGATGCTGTCAAACTTTCAATACGTTTATGAGGGTATTGTTTCTTTACTTAGTGCTATCAAATTCTCAAATTTGATATAACAAGACAATGCAAAAAAATTATTTCACACAATATACAGTTTGTTACAATATTAACTTAAAAAGTACATGTAAATAATAACATGACTATTAATTGAACTAATTATGTACTCAAATCAATGTTTAAACCTCACACAAGGTTCTTGTTTATTTAATCAACCAACCTGAACTATTGAAATGTAATAATGATACAGATTTGCTGTTTAACACTCTACACAATAAACATGGATCGAAAACCCAAAAAAGGTATGTACTGTATTATTATCTTGACTTCACTTAATAAATATAGCAATGAATCTAAAAATCTAGGTTTTCCTCCCCAGCTCGTCCTAAAGACAAAGGACTAAAAACTGGTAAGAAATACACTGTTAAATAATGTCTTTATTTATAGATCCCTCTGAAAATCACTAARTGCATTAATGTGATATAATAGAAGGTCATGCATGTTGCCGAATTGGGATATGCCAATTAGTGTAAAAGCTCATGAATTTACTCAAATTTAAATCAATTAACTTTCAGTAATGTTTAATTATTACAAGTTGTCTCTTTTTCTAGGGCCTTCAACATCAGCAATTCAGAAAGTTACTCTTTCAAATGATCAAAGTGAGCATGCAGGTACAGTAATGTGTCATAAGATCCATAATGTTTATAAATTCTTCATGTCACATGTCAATTTCAAACAATTYATAAAATGTCTTTTAATGTTCAATAACAAGTTGTCTGTTTTTCTAGGACCTTCAACATCAGGAATTCAACAAGCTATTCCTCCAAATGCTGAAAGTAAACGTGCAGGTACAGTAGAGATACTTCTTAATATATTCATTGAAAGATAAAGTATAATTCAGAGATTTGTTTTAACCCCATACAGATCTACTGTATGGATACTCATTGAATTTATTGCTATCATTTTAATGGTAACATAGTTGTTCAGCTAATGATGCAATTCACATGATTTTGTCTAAAATCAGATAACCAAAAACCTGTGTAATATTTTCTGTAATATTTTTCACTCCAGAAATGGCTTCATCATTTAATAGTATAGCTAGCCCCCTTAAGCAAATTAATACCGCTGCTGGCTTGTATGCAATAATCATTTGTTTTAAAGAGCTTCTTCATTGAATTTTACAACTAATAAAAGCCACTATTTTCTTGCAGGATTAACTGAAACCCTGTCTGCAAGCAATAAATTTACAGGTATGAAAAAAAGAAGATATATTACTGTCTGCAAGTGTAATTGTTNCTATCATTTTAATGGTAACATAGTTGTTCAGCTAATGATGCAATTCACATGATTTTGTCTAAAATCAGATAACCAAAAACCTGTGTAATATTTTCTGTAATATTTTTCACTCCAGAAATGGCTTCATCATTTAATAGTATAGCTAGCCCCCTTAAGCAAATTAATACCGCTGCTGGCTTGTATGCAATAATCATTTGTTTTAAAGAGCTTCTTCATTGAATTTTACAACTAATAAAAGCCACTATTTTCTTGCAGGATTAACTGAAACCCTGTCTGCAAGCAATAAATTTACAGGTATGAAAAAAAGATATATTACTGTCTGCAAGTGTAATTGTTCATTTTTTATTTATTTATTTATTATTTTTTTTTTTTGAATTTCAAATTCCTTAAACAACATCCATTTTGATTTAAAATAACAGCAGAAGCTCTGAAATTGAAATTGATCAAACTTACAGCAGTTGTTAAGCTGCATCACTGTTCACAGCTTGTTTGTAGAGCTAAATTAAAGTCAGTAGCTTCCATCCATAAAATAACATATGTTTATTGCACTATAATGCATATTAAACATCTAGAGAATGTGCATTGTGCCACAATGAATTTTGATCCCACACAGAAGAATGGCTAGTCTGTGGTAAAGTGCACGTACATTGATTCAGACTGATTTAAAACCTAGCAAAGATCTATGATCCATCATTTAAACTGATAATTTGCTAGTGTTGGGTTGCGATAAAGCAGCGATGAACTTGAACATCAGTTCTATATATCTTATATAGAAATAATTAAWAGAACATCAGTGCTTTATCGGGAAGTCCCATCATATGACCCAATAGTTTGATGCTCATTAGGCTAATAGCTCATTATTATTAATGAGTTCTAGAACTGCATTTTATGTGATAGAAGGTCATGCATGTCACTAAATTTGGATATGCCAAGTTGTTTTATAGATCATTAATTACTAATCAGGAAATTTGGAACCAAAAGCAGTTCATAAACACTTCATCACTACTGGAAAAAAAAAAATTATGAAATCTTTAAGTATCCTCCATTATAAGAGTGATATGAGTCCGGTTGTAGCATGTCAGTGAGAGCTAACAAGTGAATTAGTATGATATATTGATTAGGCATGAATGTGACACAATATGGTTGATTTATGTCTATAAGCAAAAAATTGCCAAGTGTATTTAAAAGTATTAAGAGAGTTGCTAATGGTATGATAGTTCCTATTAGTTTATTAATTTGTCACTCTCTTGCCTAATTAGCATGCTAATTCACGCTGAAGCTCTTCTACATGCTGAAAATAGGTTCGTGAAATTGTTCTATTATTTTTWTTAGAGCTGTCTTCTATAGATGTTGATAACAACTCAAGCACTGTGACAATTAAGGTCAAGATAACATCAAAAYTCCTTAAGAATGTATCCACTGGTAGTATTTTGGAGATGGATTTGTGTGATGGTGGATCATTTTGTAGGTGTATAGCCTGGAACAACCTAGCTTCTTTCTTTAATAATAAGCTATCATTGAATAGTACTTATGAGATGTCAGGAYTATCAGTAAGAAAGATTAAGCCACAGTTTCAAAAACAAGGGTCTCTGCCCATTGAAATTATTCTTTCAGGGGGTGTAAAGATAAAAATATCTGATGATGATATTCAGGCACCTGATACTCCTTATTGTACAATAGATAGTCTGAATCAAGCTCTAAGTCAAAGAGTAAATGTCATAGGAATAGTCAAATCTTATGACAATCCAACCCCACAAACAACTCAACAAGGAAAAACTGTAATGAAGAGAGAAATAATAATAGCAGATGATAGCAATAAGGAGACAACAGCAACCCTGTGGGGTGAAGTAGCAACTTCGTTTAGCTTAGAGGGACACCCAGTCGTAGAAATAACAAATTCCCCTGTCAAGTCATTTAAAAACAAAGCAACAATTTCAGTTACAAATATAAGGGAAGATAATACTTCTCCTCGAAGTGAAAAACTTAAGACATGGTTCAAAGATAACCCATGTACAACTCCAGTTTCAACTGCCAAACGGCGTTTAGATATTGGAACTTACAGTAAAGTTCCAATAACCCAGCTGTCCAATATTGCTGRTGGAGAAGAAGTACAAGTTGAGACACAAATAGAAAYTGCAGACTGTGACATATACGTAGCTTGTAAAATCTGTAAAACAGCTGTTATTACAGTTTTAGATGAGGAGTACTGCCCTAAGTGCAATAAGAATACTGAYACTACTAAAAGATTAGTTTTGTGTATTGGGTTAAAAGATTTTACCGAAAATGTAAAATTGTTTCATGATAATATGGGATGTCTTACCAACATTGATGTCAATGAACATGATTCGAATGAGATATTAGAATCAATTAGACCTTTTCATAACAAGCCTGGATGTTTTTTGATTTTAAAAAGATCAAAAAATGGCTTCTTGGATTATGTTATCCTTGATATCACTTTTTAAGTGATCTAAAGAATGCTAAGCTTGAATAGTCTGAAGTTTATTTTCTGTTAATGAATTACTGTTTTTCCTACAAAAGGATATAATGTTTTGCATTCGATGAATATCATCTATCATCCATGTTTTACTGTTGAGTTACATAACTTTGTTTCAGTTTAAGAGTGTTAATAAAATTCTCTGTTGATATTCAATGTTGTCCTTTATTTATATATTCTATCATAAATACAAATAATCCATTCTCAACAACCCTGGGCTTTTCTTCTATCTCTAGTTCCTCGCTACAAATGATATGGTTTTTTCTTGTATTGTTTTTTTGTTCTAATAGAYGTACATATACGTGTACCACATTTCCCTTCATATGGGTTCCAGATGATACATTAATATGTCCCACATGAAAATAAATATTCTGCTATTGATCATCACATTTGAACTCAATATTTCATTTGACACTGCTGCAACCTACCTAGTAATGATGATAATATTAACGATAACAATAATAATAGAGTG